AGCAAAGTATAAACGGTAAAATTGTAGCTTTTAAATAGTAGCAGATTTTAGGAAAAATCGCTCTAAGCTGTAATTGGAGCTTGTATGCATAAACTGCTATCTGGTGCGCTGCATGCGTACTATGCGCATAAGGTGCTAATGTAGATAGCCCTCATAAACTTTCGAGAAATCTAATCAAAAATTTTATCAACAAAGCAGAACTATGAAGAGAAAATCTTGACTTCTCAAACCAAATATTTCACTCGTTTCAGTCGTTCATGGCAGCATGTCCACAATCCTAGGCGTCACCGTTCTCGCTTTTATAAATTCATATATGGTCCTCGTTTTCTTCAAGACTATCTTCCTCGTGCTGATCATAGGTGAGAACATATCGACTACATCAATAAAGCACTGATTATCCTTTTCAGGTGTTTTCCACGCGTTAGTTCTACTGCCAATAGTTCTGGCCATCACAACACCGTATATAGAACGATTCAACGCTTGCCTAGAGCGACGTTCAGAACTCAAAAAAGCGAAAACTGTTGCATCAAAAGGCAGTGTGTATGCTATCACGTTACCAGTGAATGTATCTTGACGTTTTCTTGACATAGGGTTTATTGTTATTTTTAAAATCTTGTACATAAACTTATTAGGACGGCTACTACGCATTATCACATTTTAAAAAATTTTGCCTCTTCCAACTATCGAGGTCAAAAGGAATTATGAGGAAAAATGAAACTTTCCAAATGCGTTATAGTGACTTTAAGAAAGTCCAGCTGAGGATACAAAGCCAAGTTATCAGTCACCCAGATGTATCTCACGAGATATGGAAAAAACGAAGTGTTTCCCTGTAAGAAATGTAGCTTTTTCCTTTTTAAAAACAGCTTGCAAGACCTGTGTCTTCAAAATTTTAACAACATTGTCAAATAAAACCTCTCGCGTGATGTTTTGAGTTAAAGACAGGCTATTTTGAGCAGAGAATAACTTTCATAGCTTCTTCCATGGAAACGCTTCACAGATATGAAATGCAGATGTTGAAACAATGTTTCAAACTGTGAGTCCTTTCTTGAATACCCACTTTGACGAATTATCCTTCCTTAGGTGGTCGAAGTCGAATGTACTATGAGATGGTAAGATATTGGATGGTCTTGTCCGAAATTTTCGCGAATTCAAACCGAACTTTTCGTGTTGATTGAGCTACAAAAGGCAAGCCTTAGGTAAGAGTCCGTTTGAATGCAGTTTAATTGAGACTGTGGATCCTCTCTTTTGCCAAGGTTGAATGAATAAGTTGCTTGAAAGTGTTTCGACCTAATTTTTTAGAGTACTATCGGAATCAAACTCTCCTTTACTGATGTCAGATAAAATGATTAAAAAGAGTAAGATTTAACAAAGAATCATGTTAAAAAGAAACACTTCCAATCATTTTTAGACCTTCATCAAATGTCTAAATGATTGCAAGTACCACCTGCGATTTCAGATCATCAAACATTTACTCTAATTCTGCCAACTCTCAGCCTTTGTTTAAACTTGCTCCAGCAGAAATCGTCAAGACAGAAGATGCTACCCGTGTACACTGTTGTGCCAAAGCCGCACTGGAAGTTAGCCATCGGACGGTCTGCCTGATCAGAGACGGTAGTAATTCGCCGAAACCCGCAGTTAACAGTCATCGTCTGCTCGTTAACGCGTAGGTTCACCTAGAAATAACGATCAAACTATGAGGATAACTAAGAGGCGCTTCCGGAGAAGAGGCACGTTGGTGAAAAACCACCGGAACTTAGGGGGATCGAACCGCAACCAGTCTGTATACACCTTATACCGCATCAACGCCACTAGGCTAAGAGGTCTTGTTTGAACATGTTATAAGAGTGATTCCGCAAGATATGAAAACTATTCTTCAAAAACTAGCACCACTACTTTAACCACGCAGTACTTCTACCTTGAAATAGCATTAATAAACAAAGCATAAGATGACGGAAT